CAGAAATTAAAGACCATTACATATAAAACATCAAAGCAATGTCTTGAATATTAAATAACTTCCAAATGCAACGTAAGAGGTCCTAAAATTCTGGTAAAAACTTTTAAAATGAATGTTATAACCTATCTTACAAATTTTATTTTTAAATTCAATTTTCTTATAATAGTAACATTATTCAGAAAATTAAGAATTATATAATAATTATTCAAAATTTGTTATTAATCTATTGGAAAAAATTTTATAATAAACTTTGAGAAATTTCTTTTCATTATTTAAAATTGTAATTTTTCAAGAAAATTGACTATTTTTCATGTAAACATTAATGAAATTGTATTGTTTTATTCCTTTATAATAAAATTTATTGTAGATATATTTCTAATTATTCTTACCTCAAAACATAATTAACACAAACAACACATTGGGGTTTGGAAGAATTGTTTTCATAGATAAGTGTAGCTTGAGTTAGTATCCAAACATAACCACCATGTTTAGCCAAGAAGCGATAGTATTCAGTTTCACACTGTCCTTTAGAAAATACTGTAATAGAGTTAAAAATTAAAATTTTTAATTATATAATTGTTGAAAATTTTAATTAAACTAAACAGTTATAAAATAATATCAAATTCAGAAAATGCATAATACATTAAATGATCATTACTTAATTTATAATAAATAAAAGTATATGCAATAATTTAAACAAAAATGTATTTAATTTTATAATACAGTATCATTTATTTTTCTATAATAAGTATGTGCAAAAAATAATTATGCTTAATTATAATAGTTAATTTTACTTAGGATATTATTACTGGATATTTACTATAAAAACTGATCACTTCAAGGTAACATCTATTAAAATGCAGCATCCTTTAAAGAGAGCCAATAAAGTAGCTGTTATCTCATTGTATTAAATATTACAAGATCATAGGTCATGGCTTATTTACTGTGTCTGTGGAAGTTATAAACTTATAACGAAAGTATTTTTCAAACAACAATATATTATTTTAATATCTCTTCTAATTAAATTTTTAAAAAATGAAAATTAAACCTTTCTTAATTTTTATGTAATTTTTTTTACAGAAATTTTTATGTTGTAACATTTTTTTTAATTTAAAATTTTAAAATATGTTGAAATTATTAAAATTATACATCTTCAATTAGAAATAATTCAAAATATATTATGAAAGTAAATAGAAAGTTGTTATAAAAATGAATACTTCAAATTAAAAATCAATTTTTTTTAAATTATATATTTTCTTGACTCATAGCTAATTAAATTTGCACCATTAGTACTTATAAAAAAAAATTTAAAATTAGTAAATGTGCAATATTAATTACTACTTTTGTCATATATTTTTATTTTACTTAAAAGATCAAGTATAAAATACATTTAGACATCTAATTATAAAATTTAAATCTTTTAAATATTAAAGTTATAAATGCAAGAAATAAAATGTATTTTAAGAAAATTATTATAAGAAAAATTTCAGGTCAAATTATTTTAAAAAACTCTTATATTCTTAAACAACTTCATTAAAAATGTTATAAAATAAAATCAAAAATAATGATTGATTAAAATTTCCAAATATATTTATACCTTTAAAATTTAGCTTGCTATCAAATAAATTGTTAACATTCAATTTAATTAATGTATTTTTATTTAATTTTTTCCTGAACAAATATAAATAAATAATAAAAGATTGCTATTAATGAAATATCATCTAACAATCTGTTGATTTCTAGATTGTTTATTAAATTGAAATTTACTAATTTATTATCAATAAAATAATAAACAATAATTTTATAACTTAAAAACAATACAAGATTAAATGTATTTAACTTCTATACAAAATTATACATATAATGAAATCAGTTTAAACATTTTATTAATATTTTAAGTTTCTATTATTACAATTCCTATGAAGGTAGCTAGTTGTAAATTACAGATTTTGAAAAATCATCTTTTTCTTTAAAAATCAAATTATCAATACAATTCTATTTAGCAAGACATTTTTCAAAATATAATTATAAATGCAATTTAATTAATTAATTAGTAACAATTATAATTTGTTGATATAAAAGAATTTTAAAAATTTTAATTAACTGTGATAAAATAATAACTTTAAATAAAATAAAAATAAGTTTATAATACAACACTAAAACTAATAATGATATATAAATTTGAATTTTTTCTTAAACTATTAAAACTAAGAAACTAAGCATTTAAAACTAATAAAAGTTAAAAATTAATTTTATAATCAATTGTATTTATTTAAAAATTCATCTGTTTGCTACTAAAGGAAGACAAACATTTTAAAATTAAATTTTGCAATTAAAATTAAGTATATTGAATAAATTAATTGTTTCATGTTTAAAAAGTTTAAATGTAGAAGTAGAAAATAAATTATGCTTATTCATTAAATAAAATAATTGTTTTCCTCTATAAAAAACAAATTCCATCTAACTATTATCATTCTAAATATTAAGCAACATTTTGAAAGTTTTATCTGCCTTTTTTTCATTTTTTAAATGCATTCTTTATGAAACTTTCAAATCAAAGTTATCTAAATCTAAAATTTTGCTGTTTTAAACAATTATTGTATTATTTTTCTCTAAGTGTAAATGTAACTTGGTAGATTTTACAATAGAGGCGTTCAAAGATAAAAGTGAAAAATACAATGAACTAGTATGAAAATGAAAACTTTTTGGCATAGCATTCTGGCCATGTTAACCGAGAGATGGCAGAAGCTTTAACTAGTCACACAAAGAGTGGAACAGAAGTTATTACTCTAAAGATTTGGTTTGCCAACCCAGATCATTTTACCATTGAATTATCTTTTTAACTAAAAATGAACTTTACTTGAAAGCTCGACATTTCCACTTAAAACACATTTCTTTTATATACATTAATGCATTAAAAGCCAAACAAAACTAATGAATTTTGTTTATTTGTTTATTTTTTATATCATTGATATCATTTCATTTTATTTATGTTAGTAAATAAATATTTGTCTATTTATTTAAATTTTTACTTACAGATATCTAATAATAATTTGTTTATTTTTGAAAGTAAAAATAGATTTTTAGATTACATAACTTTTATTTTTAAATTTAAAAAATAATTTCTTTACATAAAATATAATTAAATTAAATTTTAATTTTTTTTCNACGACCACTGTGCTGGGTGAGACGTTGTTGAAACAAAAAAAGTTATGCATTCCATCACGTACATAAACAGTATCGTAATTCGCCAAGTGCAAATCAGCAAATTCGTAAAATTTTTGTTTATTTTGAACAATCCGGATAATCGAAAATCCGGATAATAGAGGTCCGGATAATCGAGGTTCTACTGTATATATAAAATCATACTTCCTTTAAACCATTAATAATTTGTTATATGATTCAAGTGTTAGAAAAATTAATGTGCAATTTTCCCAAATTCATCAATTTTTCTTCCCAGGAAAACTGACTTTTCTGCATTTCTATCTCAACAGTTAATTAACTATAACAGTGATAACTTACAGAAAACTATAGGTAACTTACAGAATAAAAATTAGTTCAACCTATAGATCCAGAAAAATTAATTAGTGCTTAATTGACTGAAGTTTGTTTGTTTATCATTTTTTACAATCTGAAGAAATTTTATATATAACGAAATAAGCAAAATATGATAAATATAGTTTAGGTTAAATTTTGTTCTCTTATAATACAAGAAAAATTATTTTAATTTAAATGAATGCTATTTTTATTCTAAATTATGTTAAACCTGTTAAACCAATTATAAACTTTTATTTATATACATATGTTTATTAAATATAAAATGCATAATTACTTAAAATATAAATCCATTTATATATGGTTTTATTAAGCTTTACTAAATTAGTCGAAAACAGAAATTAAAGACCTAAAACTAAAGTGTCTATTTTAAATATTGAGAAAAATGTGTTAGAAAATTAACTGTGTGACTTTTTCTGCACTTTATAGATGTGTCATTTATCGGTAATTAAGATAAATAATAGATTTTATGTGAAACATGTCATGCAAAAATTAATCTTTAATAAGTTCTGAACAATACTAATCTATTTCAATATAGTCTATGTCTTCCAATTTCAAGCTGAGTAATATAAAAATTGCTTAATAAATTATACATTTATCATCAGACATAAAAGTCACCAGAGATAAAGACCACTAAGAACACCTATAAACTCTGTAACAATAATTTAATTACAAGTACTTAATATTTACATTACTTTAATATTTGAAAATTTAAAAACAAAAAAATTAACATAAAAACAAATAAATAATAACTACAAATATGATTTTAATTCTTTTACAAAGTATGAATTCTAGTTAAGATCATTGAGGAAAAAAAATCATTCATTTTCTAAAAGTATGAGATTAAAAAATTTATCCAGTTAGTCATTATTTCTTATCAATATTAAAACTTTACAACTTCTTGGAATAATTGATATTATTGCCATGATTTTAGAATCTTTTATTCATTAAAAAACTACAATAAAAAAAAGAAAATACTATGTTGTAAATATTGTAAATAAATACAATTTATCTACTTGTCACAAAGTTTTACATTGTTTAAGGAAACTAGTTTACAAAGAAATGTAATGAAGCTATAAAATTTCAACCTTGACATAAAACAGTTGTGAAAAATTATTTAACCAATACACAATCTTAACTTTAGTTATATGAACCAATACAAAAATAATATTTAAAATTAAAAGATAAAAGACTTTTGTATGTAAGCAAAAAATCCTATATTAAATTTGAAATTAAATCAAGATTCATTTCCAAGAAACATTTACACTTTTACTTTACTTGCACTTTTACGCTAAATTAAGAACAATTAAATGTAATTTGATGAATAATTTTAAATTATGTTTTTTAAAAGTTTGTTTCGAGAACAGTCCGAGAACAATGAAACAATTCAATTAAATGCTTTAAGGCTTTCTATTTTACGATGCAGAAAACGGTGTAGGAGAAGTTCATTACCACAAACCTTTAGATAAAGTATATAAAAGTAATGAGAGAATGCGTTCAAGGTTGACAGAAAGCAAATCCATCTCTTGGATCCACATTACTGCCAACTATTGTCATCCCTGGGTATAATCAGCATAACCCGATGAGATTCTTTCCCCTATTAAGGGAAGGTGGAGTGTGACAGGTGTTCAGAAAACTACAGCTGCCAAAGAAAAGGTAACAAATATATGAATATACTTTGGCAAAATACACAAAATGACAATTACAATAGTTTTAATTAATTTTCCATAATTTCATTACTTTAAAGTGTTAACAAATTGCACCTACAAAAACTCTTTAGCAGACTGGAGTTTAAAATAGATATTTTATGGTTGGAAAAATGTTGGAACAGTTTCTATAATGCATTTCTGCTGTAATGGAAGAATGGCATTAAGATTGCTATCGTTATTCACAGTCAACAAATAGACACAATTATATATTCTATAAAATTGAACCATGAATGTAACAAACATCAAGGAGAGTAGTGATCTTCTAATTGATTA